AACCAAAGACATACATGGTTCCAATATATTTTTTTTTAAATTTAAAAAAAATTATGTGGACTTCAACAAAGCAGCTTTTCCACACCATATCCCAAGGATAATACTTGGGTACCCTCCGGGGAGTACCCAATATACACACTATCTTTTGTGGCATAATAAAACAACGACATCTGTCCTTATTTAAATCTCCCACACACTTAACCAAACATCATTTATTCCTGTAGCCAAACACTCACCTTCTTCCTCGCCAAAGCACACAATCAGACAAACACTTTCATTTTCATATTTTAAAAAATCATGGCAATCTAATTGTGGTGGAAGATTCCATTTCCAGAAGCCCAATCTGGCAATCCAAAAATATGGGTTCCTTGATTTTCATACGGAGAGGACGATGGCTCATGGGGTTGGTTAAGGTTGGGCATGGGCCGGGCCGGGCCCAATTTGAAGGGACCTGATCGAACCTAGGTTCAAAGGAAACGGGCCGGGCCCGGCCGGGGATTACATTTTCTAATATAGGAACCGGACATTACCCGGCCAGGTTGAAACGGGCAGGGTCCACGGGTCCCTTTTTTTTTGTTGTTTGAAAAAAAAAATTGTACAGATTGCAATCTGTACAGATATGAAACTGCATATATTTGCAAACTGCACAGATTTGCACAGATTGCAAACTGCACAGTCTGCAGAAAGTGACAAACTACATTTATGCAGATTTTGCACAAATTCACCATTATTCACATCCAATCTAAATACAAAGTCCAACATCAAAGTTCATAGATTAACAATACATCCAAAATAACAATATTACATTGTCCAACATCTAAAAATCAAATCAACATACAAAATATCCGAAAGTCCAAGAGACTAAAACATAAACCTAGTCAAATATGAGTTAAATAAGAAACTTTAAACCTAGTTATACCTAGTTATACTGCATGCCTCTCAAATCAGAAACTTTACATTGTTTGGCACAGTTATACCTGAATAAATGCATATTTACATACTGTAAATAATTACACAAAAGGAATCAAGTATAAAATGACATCTGAGAAATATAAAATTTACACAAGAAGCTATTCCCTTATCTCTTTTAGTTGACAAATTGTGAAATTGAAGCTGAAATATGAAACTTTCAAGATGTAATATTTTCCACTTCAAAGAGGCTAAATATAACCATGCTAAAGTTATTAAATTATCACTTCAAAAAGGGAACTCTAACTGTGACTTTAATGGCACGTTTGGATTAGGGACTTTAAAGTAACATAGATCTTGGGCTATATTTGATAGGATGCACTGCAACAATTAGATAAGAGGAAGAAAATAACTAGGTGCAATACGCATAAGAAAACTTTGAATTTTGAAATGACACACCTTTCTAGGTGTCATTTGGAAGTTCTTTGTTCTGTCTCTTTATGATGTGCTAGAAGAAACTTGGTAGTGCTTGAATAGTGCATTGGTAGTCTTCTTGTCGTGATTTTTAACCATTTAGCCTTAAGTTTCTTGGAACTTTAAAGTCCCTTATCCAAACACACTTTAATAGTCATGGTTTTCAAAGAGGACCCTAAAAACTTCTTTTTCTTTTAGCTATAAAATGCAACCATGTTTTCCGAAATAGAGGGTTAAACACAACCTCTTACAAATCAACATGCAAATGGAACATTAACCAATCTCTCTAAATTCTCCTACATTATGTTTATTATGTGTTCAATATCAAATATTCAGGAGTACTGGTGCAAGAGATTGCACCCCAAGAATGTATGCGAAAAAGGTCTATCGACAACCTCCCCTGCGTGAATCTTTGAAGAAGGGCAAGGTTCGAAAGTATTGAGGCATCTAACAACTCCAAGAAAAAAACATTTGCAGCATAGATACAACCATATACATTCAGCATCTATAGTAACCTAGTTTGAAAACCCTAAAATCCCAATTCTAATTTAAAAACCCTAAAATCCCTACACCCAAAATTCAAATTAATAACAAAACCCTAATTCAAAATTACCTAAATTTTAAAGGGATGATGGCTGGTACCAGTGTCATCGACGACGGGGATGGGGTGATGGCGGTCACGACGGCGGGGGTTGCTGTCGAAGAGGAGAGAATCGACGGCAAGGGTGATGGCCTGTGTTCTCTGGGATGTTGTCGAGGAGGATGATGGGTGGTTCCGTTGTATTCGTCGAGGAGAATCGACGGTTGGTGAGGGGATTGGAGTCGAGGGAGTCGAGGGAAAGGAACTGTCGAGAGACTGAGGTATGAGAGTTTGAGAGAGTGAGAATGAGAGTCGAGAGGAATCGGGATAAGATGAAAGAGATAGAGAACTTAGGTAAAACTAAAACAACGGTTCAGATTAGATATGGTAGCTTATTCATCAATCTGGTCCATTCATTTTAATTACAAACGGGCCGGTCTGGGTATACCCGCGATTCCTATACTTCAGGAACCGGCCTGAACCGAAAATCACAAAGGTCCGCCCTGTTTCTCTTTTTTAAAAGTAGGAATTGGCCTGTACCCGCCCCGAACCGTTATTACCCTCCCCGACCCACAGTTCCTGTACCCGTTTGCCTAGCCCTAGGTTGGGTGCTCGTTTTCACGGTTTTCTACTCTTACGTGAGATCCAGATTTTACAACGATGAAGATGCCATGAGTTCCGGCGAGGGACGGTAGCTGATAGTAGTGGATGAAGACGCTGGTTTGTGATCGGAGACGACCGTGGCCGGGGGTGGTGTCCTGGTGGGAGAGGACCATGGTTGGTGCCTTGTGGTAGTGGACCATTGCCGGTGATTGTACGGCAAAGACCGTGGCCACTGGCGTGGGAGAGGACCGTTGCTGGTGCCAGTGGCTTAAATCTCGGTGTATTTGGTGTGAATGAAGATGGGCGTTTGGCTAACACAATAATGAGGTATCGTTTGGTATGCAGGCAGGACGGGACAAACGGAACGGAACGGGACGGGACGGTACGGCACAAGATGTAACGGAACGGAGAGGTAGCAAATATCGCCTCGGATGGAAACAAGGAGGAAGAAGAAGGAGACAGAGAGGTTATAATTTTGTGTTCCACGAATGTGGAATAAGTCGTTCCAGGGGGGTGAGACGGAACGAAAATTCACCCAAAATTCGTCCTGTGGAACAACGTGTTCCACCAATTTTAGGCGCACCAAACATGGGACGGAACGCCTCGTCCCACTCCATTCCGTCCCGTACCAAACGGTACCTGAGTGTTTGGCTAAATAATTGGTTAAGAATTTGAAGATTAAGTTTTGCCAAGTGTCTTTATTTTAGTGTGCCACATAAGATAGTGTGTATATTGGGTACTCCCCGGAGAGTATCCAAGTATTATCAATATCCCAATACATACAGGCCATCGTGTCCCACATTTTCGTGCGTCTCAAGGTGTTACCAAAGGTGACATTTGCCCTCTGACGTAGGATGCTGACGTAGCAGCCTTTATGCCCAAAAGTATGCTAATGCTAATAATGCCATCACAATTAGGGTAAAAGTCCTGCGTTGAGGACATTCGCGGATAACACTAAACCACGTACAATGGATATCCCTTTTGAACACGGTATTAACGGTAATATGATGTTATTCATTCATATGTTATAATATAGTAAGAAAAAATAATTTAACAATTTTAAAACTTAAAGTAGTAATTAAACAAATAAATATGTATATTATAAAATATATGAAAGGATTGGTAATGTATTGCATCTTATACAGTCCTTCAAATATTCTCTCTGCAACTACATCTTTCATTCTCAGAAAATGCAGTCCTTTATTCTCTCAATTACTACAACGAAATTAATATATAAAAATCTTGAACCCTAACAATTGTGTGACTTAACTCAATTATTCTTCTCTACAATGTTAGGTAAAAAATGAGAGTTTCATAATATTCTATTTTATTTAATCCAAAGAAGACTTGTGGATCTACTACTGCAATGTAGTGGTATTCATTTTTTCCTAACTTGTAAGTTGAAAGTCTTAAATTCGGTTTTCCTAAAGAGGAGTTCAAAACCATTAATAATACCAAATTTATGGTTAGGTGATTGTGTAGTTTAGTAAGATTTCCACATTTAAAAATATTTGTTTCAAGAAAATAAAACTTCGGAGAAGACCCGTATACCACACGTATTGCAACGGTGCATAGAATATGCTTTTCCGCATCGGACTTAATTTTCTTTTTCAAAGTTTACTGCATACATGAATCCAACAATTACGATAATCAATTTGTTCCCCGAAATTGAGGGAAGGCTTAGTAGACCTTTCCTTCAACAGATGAACATATACGTTTCCTACATGCATCCATCATATACCTTTCTAAAAGAGAAATAAACAGATATGACAAACGTAATTAGAAGAAGAAGCAGATCTGCTTATTTACCAAAGCAATTAGTTCCAATTTGTTCCAATGTTGCATCATCAACATGAATTTCAAAGGTTTCAAGGGATTGTTAATTGTGTTAACAAATATCGGGAAATTAAAGTATTACATAGCAACATAATATCTAGGTCAGTGATCGATATTATTGTTACCCCAGCAGTAGCCACGTTTTTGCTGTTGCGATTGCTTATTTTTGTTATACTGACAATTTAATTACCTCGAGAAAGTTTGACTAATCTTCGTACTTCTCATGTAAGTGGTAGATTGTCATAGTGGTTCAGATCTTCTTTCCTAGTTCAAACTCTCTCCATCTTCGTCTAGACTATATAGAATATCGCTTGTAGTACTAAAAAAAGTTAATCCTCTCATAAATTTTACTTGTAAAAGTAAGCCGTTGTAAGTAAAGAAATATAGAAGTAGGGTTTTGTTTTATCAGTTCAGTGACGGTTTGGTTTCTTCAGTTGATAACGTAATGTGAACGTTCAACTTTGATAGTCATGCAAATAAATTTCCACAGCCTCAATTTCTGCCTCAATTTCTGCCTCAATTTCTTAGAGCTCATAATATCAACATTTACCGTTCCCCGCTATTATAAATACTCCGCACCATAGCATCTCATTTGCCCATCCACAAAGAGAACAAACCATTAACATGGGGTTGTGCAATATTTCCCTAGCTCTCCTTTTCATTTTAGGCTCAGTCCTTATCCAATCCTCTCATGCCCAAGACACACCCAAGACTACCTCAAGTCCCACAACGACGCTCGAGCAGCAGTAGGCGTTGGTCCCTTGACGTGGGATGACAAAGTAGCAGGCTATGCACAAAACTACGCCAACCAACATGTTGGTGACTGCAATCTCGTGCACTCCGGTGGGCCATACGGCGAAAACCTTGCCATGAGCACTGGTGACATGTCGGGAACAGCGGCTGTGGACATGTGGGTGGCGGAGAAAGCCGACTACAGTTATGAGTCGAACTCTTGTGCTGATGGAAAGGTGTGTGGGCATTATACACAGGTGGTTTGGCGTAACTCGGCTCGTGTAGGGTGCGCAAAAGTTAGGTGCAGTAGTGGGGGTACCTTCATTGGATGCAACTATGATCCCCCAGGCAACTATGTTGGGCAGAAGCCATACTAGCTATGGAAGAATCAACAACCACTCTAGCAGTTTTTGCTGATGGATATATCTAAGAAGATAAGCTATGTTATTAAGAATTAAGAAAATGAATAAATAAGTGATGATCGATCATTTGTATATATCTTCCACTGGCATGGTGGACGGTAAATTTCAATTGATCAAGAATTCACTCTTTTTTATTTAAAATAAATTTTGGTAACTTGCTAGTTAGACATGCATGCTACGATCAAAGTTGCATAATTACTTGCCTAGCTTGAAGTCCTACTATTGCCTCAACCAAGAAAACCCTAATTTACATTATTTGGCTGAAACGATGAATGTTTGTGGAAAACTTCTCTTGGTAATCTACTACACATATTAATTAGAAAGAAATTACTGGCTTGTGACCAAGCAATTATTTCTTGCTCCTTGTCTTTGAGAGATATAACGCCGGTTTGTCAAATCTATATATTTAAAGAGTGAATAATGACTTTTAAGTGCTAATAACTATTTCATAAATATAAAGGGACATTATATGGTGGAAATGTGAGATCATATTTGTGAGATAATCAAAATGTTTTCTATTTTTAATTTTCATTTTTATGTGTATGAGTTATGGAGAAATTATTTGGAGGAAATGTGGGATGAAGAATACTGGTGGAAGGGAATGAAGGAAACAAAGAAAAATGAACAAAAACAAAATCTTCAAAGTAAATGCAAGCTAAAAATAGTTTTTAGTTTTTATTTGAGTTCATTTCCTTAATTGCACACTTTTCAACATATCTCTCATAATCGTACCATTTAAAAAAATTAAGTTCCTTAATGATATTTTTTCAAACAAATGTCCTTAAGTTCATTAAAACCTCCAAATTCTTCCCTTCTACTAGATTGTAAGCTATTTAATTTTTTTCAATTTAAATTACGTGACTTGTGTTGGTTTTTAGTATTTGATGTTGTTTTCTTAAGTTATGGATTGGGAAATAAGACTGAAGAAAAACTCAAAGAACGAAAGTTTTGTATATTTCTGTGTAAGGAAAGGTGCGGCTCAATCCATTGCAGAGCACAAATTAGCAAAACATTCTCTTACACCTTTGCGCTAAATCCAATCTAAGCCATACACACGGTCATCAATAATGGCATGACACTTGGCTACAATTTAAGTCATATATGGAAGGATTGAATCGAGGCCCTACATTTGAATCTATTGACTTAAGCACCATTGCAACTTATTAAATCAAATAATCAGAAACAATTTACATTTCAAAAACTTGGATGTGATACACTTTTAAGGGTAAATTATCAAAATTTAATGAGTTAAGACATTTTTTTCAGGAAAAAATATGTAATTTTTTTTTTGAACAAACAATATTATATACACTAACGGGGAGATGGTGGGTTTAGCCTTATAATGAGCTAGCAATAATGTGGTTCAAATTCACCTTTGATAAGAATCGAACCTAAAACCTTTCACTTACAAGTGAAGAGGCATATCACTAAATCGTTTAATATTTATAACATCGTGAAGTCATCTTTTTCAGATTTTTTTTACATTAGACTTTAACATGGGAAGGCCATATTTATAGGAAATCAAAATTCACAAGTATTCTTCTTTCAATAGAAAATTACTGGATTTGAGGTCAATTTTTGCTCCGCAAAGAGTTGTCTGTTGATACCGTGACCCTCACTGCATCACTTTACCATAAATTTCAACTCTATAACTGATAAATAAATGGGGAGGAAGGAAAAAAAATCTAGGTCTGGTTTCACAAGGGCTGGAACTCTATAACCGAGTTGGTCTGAAAACCTTGGATTCCATTGAATTGGTCTGGAAATCTCTGAACCGTCGATTGCCTTTATTACCGGATTATTAGAAAGTAATTCGAAAGGAATTGTTATAAGGTTTAGATCTTACTTCATATCTGGTTGCACGATAAGTTTCAACTCTATAACAAAATATAGGGTTTTCAGACCAAATAAAAAAAATAACCATATATGAAGTAAGATTCCAGACCAATTCAATGGAATCCAATTTGGAAGTGGTCACCAATTGTCGATTTACCAAGGATGATCACTTTTAGAATGCTTATGGTTTCCCAATGCAAATTAACCAAGCAGAACCATAGGCATGCATATAATTGCATGGCCCAATGCGAATTAACCAAGTAGGACCATCCATGTACCATACTGCTACATGATTCAGTCACATTATCACTCGTCATATACCATACATCAACCCAACATGATTTACATAATAATCACATCCACTATCGGTTCAACGTGTCAACCAAGCATCTCGTTATACAAAGAACATCACAAAGGATTCCCTTAATTACTAGTTATATTGAAAATTCTAATTGAGTCCCTGACTCATCATTTTATACTAGCAACCACGCATTACCAGTGTCTTTATCTCTGTCTCATATTACATACAATGCTAACTTCAATAGGACATACATAGAGGCATATACACATTTTGATATTCTATATAAGGACAGTAAACAAACTACTCACCTCATGTCCAATGCAAATGCGATCTCGAAAGCATGCCAACTTAAGGCCTAGAAGTCAGTCAAAACCTATCAAAGTATACAAACATTATTTAGCTTACCATTTATAGAATACATAACAAACACTTAAATGAAGGTAAGGTGCCACTTGCATACAATCCGAGATGCACATCACCTAGGATGGCACGCATAGTCTAGGTTTTAACACCGAGCCCTAGCTCCCTATATCTGCTCTCAATAGCCCCTCTTTTCCCATCTTTCTCTTCTTTCTTGACATGTCCAATCACTTTTCCTCTCTTTCTAGTGCCAAACTCACAATCTTAGGGCTGGGTTCGGTTCAAAATCGAAATCGAATCGAAATTTTGGTTCGGCTCAGTTCGGTTTAATTTTTTTTCGGTTCATTTTTTTTCAGTTTCGATTATTTTTCGGCTTGGTTTCAATCCGGTTCAGTTTTTTCCTTTTTTTTTTTAATCTGATATTGGGCGGCGGAGATGGTGCGGTGAGGATTGAAGAAGCCAAGGTTTGGAAATAATTGGAAGGCATGTTGTGACGATGAAAAAGCGCTGCACATAACTTGTTGAGATTGCCGAGCAATTGCTGTGCCATGGCTATGAAAGAGAGATACATAATATCTGGTGGTGAGTGTGAACACTAAAATTCCTGAAACAAGAACAACGTGTACAAAGAAAGATTTTGGTGTTAATGGATTTTTAGGGTTACAATCTCTTTATAACTTGATCCTCTGATTCGATCACCGTCAAGTGTTGATTTGTGGATGTTTTGTTGATCAAAGGGTCGTCGAGGCTTGATCTTGGATGAACTGTTGGAAGTTTCTTCAAGAGCCCTCGGGGCTTGATCTTGAAGGTTGAGCGAAGTTCCTTCAAAGGCTTTTAGGCTTGATCTTAAAGAACAAATGTGTGGATTTGTTGATGTTGTTGATCCAAAGGGTCATTGAGGCTTGATCTTAGGATGAACGGATGATGAATGATGAACACTTTCTTCAAGTCGGGGCTTGATCTTGAATTGGTGAAAGTTCTCAAGGGCCGTCAAGGCTTTTGCAATATGAATTGATTACTTCCAGTTGTGATTCTATAAATCATGAATGCAATTTACTTAACTGTTTGATTCAGAACTCATTCTTGTATGTTGATGAAGGGTGCACACTTAGTTTGCATGCATGAATTTGATGCTAGAATATAAGGGAGTTTCACCTAATCATTATGAACTTATATTCATAAGTAGTGGAGGTTGTTAGTCACAATCGTGTTAAGTAGATTTCTGGCAGGAGTATCATGTTGTTCATAGTTACAAATGCCTTGTCAATGCTTATGATTTTCACAAAACTTAATGATCTTTGATTGTATCTCTATTATGCTATTCATGTAGGGGACTATTGAAGAATAATTTGGTTGCCGATGCGTTGTCCATCCAATTCAATGACTTAACGAAAATCAAAGGGTTAATTAGTGCTGTTCACAGTTAATATAGGGCGTTGAGGTTCATGGTTTATTGGAAAATCAACTGGAAATCGATTTGTGTGCAAGTGTGTCATGTGTGGAGAAGAACCCTCTAGCTAGCCAATCACCCATATTTTCCCCCAATTTTGTGCTAAACTTGCTTAAGTCTTTAATTTACTTGTCTTTACTTTAAATTCGTCAAAAACCCAATCCCCTTTACTTTGTTGTGTCAAATTAGTTAGAATATATCCAAACTTGTGTTTTTAAGTATTTTGAGTCAAGTTAAAATCAATTTTCGTCCAAATCACCCTTTAGTGTCTAGTTTGAGTCTATTTGATTATTTTGTGCTGTTTTGAGTCTCTTTAATTTGTTTTGAGTTATTTGAGTCTAGTTAAGTGTTTTCAAGCCTAGTTTTGTGTTTTTAAGTCAGTTTTAAGTAGATTAGCAATCCCTCCTAATCCCCGGCCTAGAACGATCCCTACTTACATCTTTACTACAATTGTCAATAAGAGGGTTTAATTTGAGTACTAGTTTATATCACATCAAATTTTTGGCGCCGTTGCCAGGGATTAGCAAAATTGCTAATCTCCCTTTGTTTCTGTTTGTATCTTTTACTTTTGATATTTGATTTAGTTTTCTTTCTTTGATTTTAGGTACTAGAGAAGCAAAATATGGCAATTCTAACGTTCAAGCTCAAATAGCGAATCTTACTTGTCAGTTGTCGCAATATGCCGAAAGGACCACAATGCAAAGTGTCCCTACATTTGGTGTGTCCTATAGGCAAGGATATGAAACTCATCAACGTCCTCAATTCATTGAGAATAGAGGTGCCTGGGGTTATCAAGGCCATAATCAATCAAGGAACAACCTGTTTTCCAACACTTACAATTCAAATTGGAGAGATTATTCAAATTCTATGTGTAGGGAACCTCAAAAACTTCAACAAGAAGAATATTGTTAGCCATATGAGAAGTTCTATCAATGGCCATATGCACCACCACAGCCTTCCCCCCCCAACAATATGCCCAACCAAATTCAGGTACATCAATGGATAATGATAAAACTCTTGATGTACTAATTTCTTTTA